GTTAAAAAAAGCGGAATAAGAGTAAAGTACCCCTAAAAAAAAAAAAAAAAAACTACATAAATATTTTTTGAAACTCACAATGAGATTATCTAAATCGTTTCCCCCCACTGGTTCGTCCGCGATGATGCGTTCAGTGGCATCGGGAGATCAGAGTTTGGCTCGTGGATGCATTTCTTGAAGGCAGCTCCTGACCAGCCCGGTGGCGTCGACGGCCGTTCCCCAGGCCAGAGAGACGCCGTAGCCACCGTGGCCGTAGTTGTGCACCACATGGGCCCCGCGGCCGCCGCCCAGCCGCTGTCCCGCCCTCTCCACCCTTGGATTCCTCCTGGAGGGCCTGAGCCCGACCCACTGCCCCAGCACTCTACCCCGACACAGGGATGGCTCCAGCCTGGTGCAGCGCTCCAAGATGGCCTCGGTGTCCCCGGGGTCGACCGCCAGGCGCCAATCTCCCTCCTGTCGGGTGCCGCCCACAGTGACGTAGCCGGAGCCGGGGTAGATGTATGACTTCCCTCCCTCTTGACGGATGAAGTGCTTCAGCCAAGGGGCGTCCACCTTCAAGACCTGGCCCCGGACCGGGACGAGCCCGCAGTCTCCCACCAGCTCCTTGGAGCCCAGGCCCGAGCAGTTGACAATGACGTGGTAGTCCGAGCTCAACTCCTCAAGACTGGAGACTTTCTTCTGCTCCACTTTACCGCCGGCTTTCGTGAACCTGGACACAAACGAGGAAACTAGCCATCCATCTATTTTCTATTGCCTTTGTCCTGAGAAAATAATTTAAAATATCAAAATAAATGAGTTCTGACCAGAAAAATGAAAATTAATGCAAGCAAAAAATGAAAACCGATTAAAATGAAAAAAACAAAAAAAAGTGACTTAAAAAAAACTTCTACCTCCCTCTAAAGACATAAAGTTAAGAAAAGCAGTGAAATGGGGGAAATATTTGAACAAAGATCAAATTTTCTGTGGCTCTTTTACCCATCAGGGTCTCAGAAATCCTCCAAAAACAAAAATACATCCAACCCACCCCCCCACCCCCCAAAAAAAAGGTTGAAATAGGAAAAAAGAAGCAAGCAAGCATGTTTGTGGAATAAATATATCAGGAAGTCTGAGCCGAAATTCAAAGCCAAAACGAACCTGTGTTGTAGCCAGGGCAGGTAGCTGGAACATTCGCACTTGATGGTGGTGAAGGCCTGGCCAAACGTGTGCTCGGGAAAGCGGCGCAGCTCGCGTTCGCTCAGGAAGCGAAAGCCAAGCACGATGTCCCACCAGTAGGGCCTCTTGTTGGCAGGGGGCTCCCTGAAGATTTGAACGCTATGGGGGGGTGAAGAAAAGATGACATCATCATACACAACATCACTTCATTTTACACTTGCATGTTACCCTGAGTTTAGCAGCACTCCGGCATCAGGTGCGTGTCTGGACTGCGCGATGGCCAGTAGGTGGTCAAAGGTGTCGCGGAACCAGCATCTTTGGCGTTCCAAAGGAATATCTAGTTCAGAGAGGGATGGCGGGTGAGGTGCAAAAGGAGGTGTATGACTCATTTATCAATTTGACATCTGGTCGATTTGAGTTCTTTTAAAATTGGCTGATTTTTCTCTCTCGTTTTAACAAATACTATCGGAGCAAGTATTGGAGAATTTTATTCGGAATCATCACCAACCTCAAAAATTCATCCTGGTTTGGCCCTAATTTATAAGTTGGAGGGGGCTGCAACACAATGGCATTTCATTTCCGATCAATGGGGAAAATTGCTTTGAAATCAGTTCAGTTCCAGTTGGTTACATAATGAATTAAACCGCTAAGTCAAAGCACCGCTATAGTTTATTTGGCTGCTTTGTGTTTATAATTAGATGTCTTTAAATTATATACATGTACAGCAGATTTGCAATTTTTTGGGGGGGCGGGGTCTCCTTTTTGATGAAAAATGATTAGTGGTATATGTCCATTTATTGAAGAATTTTTGGTTTTATAAAATACATTTCCATACATTTCATCTCTTCCGACTGCGTACATTCATCATCCTCAGTGAAATGGTGCTGACCGGTGTTTTTAAGGCATAGCGGCGTTTTTCTGCCCACCTGGAAATTGTTCCACATAGAGGATCCCGGCCGCTCCGTCGCTGGTGGTCCCTGGGCTGAATTTGTCGGCCAGCAGGGTGACCGAGCAACCGGGGAGAGTCTCGGCTATGCACACGGCCGTGGACAAGCCCACCACGCCGGCGCCTACCACCGCCACCTTTGCTCCTCTCATCCTGGGACACGAGAGAACAGTCATGAAGAACAGCCAACCGTCCCGGATGGCTGTGTAGTGCAGTGCCTTGAAAAAGTTTTCATACCAGAGATTTTACGTGATCAACCAACACCAAGTAGCACATGATTGTAAAATGGAAAGCACTCATCCATCCATCCACTTTCTGATCCGCTTTACCCTCACAAGGGCCGCAGGGCATGCTGGAGCCTATCCCAGCTGTCTTCGAGCCTTCGGGGGACATCCAAAACCGGTTGCTAGCGAATCGCAGTGCACACAGATACGAACAACCATCCGCGCTCACATTCCCGCCTTAGGACATTTTCGGGTGTTCAATCAGCCTGCCATGCATGTTTTTACTCACATTCCCGCCTTGGGACATTTTCGGGTGTTCAATCAACCGGAGTACCCGGAGAAAACCCACACAGGCCCGGAGAAAACATGCAAACTCCACACAGGATGGCCGGAGCCGGGATCGAACCCACGACCTCTGCACTGTGAGGTCGACGCGCTAACTTACTCCACTACCTGGCCGCCCAATGTAAACCATGAGTATGCAAAATAAAGAGGAGGGTTGACACATAGCAACCTCAGGACAGGACAGACCGGAAAAACATTTAACTCAAACAGTATGGTGGTACCTCTACTAAATTAAGTGGTTCTGGAAGAATTTTTTTCACTAGAAAATTTTGTTTGTAGAGACGTAAAATGTCCTAACCCATTCTAAGCCTCTAACAAATACATGTTACAATTAGATTATTGCGCAATTATTACTTTGGAGTCAGCCAGTCCTCCATGAAGCGTCTCGTGCATAGTGTAAAAAAAAAACAAACGATAAAGAATAAAAATGATGGTCATTTAACTTTTAACTGCGTCCTCATCGTGCTTTGCCCTCGTTCGTTCATGTTCTCTCTCAGAAGAGTTTTTTTGGCCTGGCGTTTTGTGAAGAACTGATCCGAGGACGTTTGCTTTTGTCGGCTTTTAACAATCCTTCGAAAACGTCCAAGGCGAACATCAGCACAGTGAGCGATCACCCGACTGATGAACACTTTTTCTGAGTGATTCACATTTACGTAAAACTATCGGAACGCCTCATGGCCCGAGGGTCGAATGACTAGAACGTCGCACAGACACATATCTATCTACACCAGTGGTTCTTAATTAACCTTGTTAGAGCTACTTTCGTATGAAGAGATGTCAGTAAGTAGAGTTATCACTGTACCTTGTTAGTTAGAGAATGTCAGTTATCCAACTAATCCACTTCGAATCTAGTTGAATATGACGCATGAGTTCATCAGCAGGCAAAAGGGGCTGAATGTTCATGAATTCTAAGGGGAAAGTTTATTTATTAAATGTTGTTTTCATGTCGTTATTTTTCTGTTTACTTATTAAATGCCTGCAATGAATTCGAAGCCTTTTCGTATGTAAAATATACAAATGCCATTATACAACAAATATGTGTTTAATTGACTTTAAAGTACTTGACCAGAAAATCAGTAAATTAAACATTTTCAACATACAACATGCAATGCCCTTTACTTTGGAGTCAGCCAGTCCTCCATGAAGCGTCTCCAGCTGGTCCAGAATGCCGCTGCTCGCCTCTTGACTGGTACTCGTAAGAGGGAGCACATAACTCCTACTCTGGCATCCCTTCGCTGGCTCCCCATACATTTTAGAGTTATTTTCAAGATCCTCTTATTTGTTTTCAAATCTCTAAATGACCTCGCGCCACCTTACCTCTCTGAGCTCATCCGCCCCTATACACCTGCCCGGCGCCTCAGGTCTGCGGACCAGACATTATTAGAAGTACCAAGAACCAAACGGAGGCTCAGAGGGGATCGAGCCTTTTCTGTTGCTGGTCCCTCTCTCTGGAACGACCTCCCACTGAACATTCGGCAAGCCTCCTCGCTGCCCATCTTCAAAACCGCCTCAAAACTCATTTGTATTCTTTGGCATTTGACTCAGCATGACTTAGATTTGTTCTTGGTTTTTGCTGTTCGGTGCTTTCTACCGTCTTTGTTACCGATTTGCTTTACTGTTAGTTGTATATGTTAATTGCTCCATGTACAGCACTTTGTATGCAGCGATGGCTGTTTGAAAGTGCTCTATAACTACAGTTGAGTTGAGATACATTTGAAGGGCTACATACGACAACACCGGACGGCCACAATACACCTGCAGAATCTAACGCGCATACAAGATAAGAGATAGTTGCTTGCTTGGAAAAACAAAAACAGAAGTTTCACGAGCATCACGAACCTGCTTTTTTGTTCAGTATAGACCTCCAACGTCGCTTCATCTGCTACTTTTTTAAAACGCTGGTTACTGCTTCTGCAATATTTCAAAAAACACAGTTGAGGCACCCAGTTTTAACAACAAAGTGTGCCTCGAGAAAGGACTGTCACGTCACAGCAAGGGGCCCAGGTCCGCAAACTCGATTACCCCTATCCAGACTGTTTTTAGATTCTATCAGGCTTTTGCAAAGCTTGCTGATCGTTTGAATCGGCTATGTTGAAGGATAGAGACATCGTAACAGGTTGGGTGGAGGCATTACATGATCTGCGCTAAATCGTTTGAATCGGGTATGTTGAAGGATGGAGACATCGTAAACAGGTTGGGTGGAGGCATTACATGATCTGCGCTAATCCACTATATATGTAGATCTGCTCACACAGAAGTCTCGTCAAGAGTGCATTCCTCGCGATAACACCTCACGCTGACTTTTTCCGGTTAGCAAGAAAACGGTAAGGTCCTAACAGCTCACTATTCACGAAAAAACTCGACGGGGTTTCTCCAACGAATGCGTTGCCAAGCTCTATTCATTTTACGTCTTTACGTAGGTCAGTTTTTTTTTTTACCTTGTTTTTCTTTTAGAGAGCGTTTTGTTCGAGGTGCTGTTGATTTTTTATTTTTTGCGAACGTGAAAAAGTTATACGTTGGCCTTTGAGCTTCAAACACCTTTGGGGGGGGGGTGTCTACTACATGCCTGATGAAAAGGCTATTATATGTTACAGTATTTTATTTATTCTTCTTCTTAAATATGTTCGAATCAAATCCTTATCCAAATAGATATGTTTCAACTGATGAATGTTGTTTTTCCGTTTCTCTTTTGTGGGAAGTCTTGTTGCACTCAGAACCAGAAATTAGCAAATGAACGAGCGAGAAGAATTAATATTTACGACAAATGATCTTGTTTTCTGTAAAATAACCAAAAATCAGTTTCTTGCTACTGTAAAAAATATCGATAACAGCTGTACAATAGAATATTGTCACGTGTGCAACTGTACAATTATTTCTGTGTACAATTGTACATAATCCATGTCAGGTAAACTTCAAAGAGTTGATTGCAATACAACTCTAATGTCGGTGAAAGATGTCTAAAAATTGTGGTTTGACTGAAAACTGCCAAAAAAGTAGCGATAAACTGCTCAGAGGTGGTTAATACCCAATCAATCAAACAAATAAACAAACTTTATTTAGATAGCACTTTTCATGCAGAAAAATGCAACTCAAAGTGCTGTACAATGCTTTAAAACATTTCAAATTTACACGAAAAAAAGTGCCTGTTTTCCCTCCAAAATGGTGGCTCACAGTTTGAGCCATGATGTCACACCCACATCTTCCAAATTGCTCAACTAATGTTGCCTGGACTTATTAATATATACTGTATGTTTTTTTTGTTCCTTTCATGTAAGTAGAGTACACTATCAAATTGTGGTACATGTGTTGAGATTATAGTTTATTATTTTTTAATTACAGTTTTTCATTTTAATTTTTGTTTTCTAAATTCTCGTAGTTTTGCGGTAGTTTTTGTAGTGGGTTTGTTAGTTTTTATTTCTACAAAATTGCCTTGTTTCAGTTGGATTTCTATTAATTTTAGGAGTCTTTTTTTTCATTCGGGGTGTTTGCTGAGATGGTAACAATATTGTGGAAAAAGAATACAATTAAAAATATTAGCTTCCCACCAGATTGAGCAACAGTATAAATAAGGCAGTTTGGCAGTGTTTTTTTTTGCTAGCATTAGCATTGGCGTTAACAGCAATAGCATATTGACTCCTACCATTAGCGTTAACGGTATAAGCATTCTATAACCAAGTATGCATTGCATTTAAATAAACATTGTGGGTATTGTTTTAATTTGTGTATTTAGTTTTACAATAAACTTCAACGGGGTTGTCATTAAACATCCTAAAGCACGCTCTGGGAGGGCAAAATAACCTTTGTCACACCTCGCCTCACAGGCAACAGGGTGCATTCGGGGTGCTTTCAGAATATTGGAACTTCTGTCGGCTCTGTGCCGTTTAGTACATTCATTGATTTTCTTTGATTATCATATTTATATGATCGTGAGAAGCCACACTCAAAATCCCAATTATAGTTTGATTAATTGCCTAGCTCTACAATAATAGCACTTTTTAAATTATGGTCAAGGAAGGCATGCCCCAAAAGTGTTTTATTCTTTTTTGCAGCAGTTCACTGAAGAAGATGACACTGATGGCCTCATCTTCCTCGCACAAGATGACCGTCCTGAGCAAATTGGCACACCTCAGGAAGTGTGAAATCCTGTGTGACATCACCCTGCTGGTGGAGGGCGAGTGTTTCCGGGCGCACAAGGCCTTGCTGGCAGCGAGCAGCGACTACTTCTTACAGCTTTTCACCGCCAAAGATGTTGACGCCAACACCGGGGCTACCTACCGATTGGACAGCGTAACGGCTGCCACGTGCGGGGCGGTGCTGGAGTTCATCTACAGTGCCCGGGTGTGCGTTGAGCAGGGCGCCGGCGAGCAGCTCCTGGCAGCCGCTCGGTTGCTGAAGGTGGGCGACCTCGTGAAGGCGCTGCAAACCACGCGGCGACGCAAGGGAGGGCGAGCCAAGAAGAGCCTGCTCGTCAGGAAGCAAAGGAAGAAGAATCCCTCATGTGACGACCACGCCGAAGAGCGACAGGAAGTAGCTAACAACAGAAAAGAAGGGGAGCAGCCCACTCGGGCAGGAAGACGCAGGATCACGCTGCCCGTCAAGTACGACGCCTTTAAAGTGGGCGGAGACTTATCACCTGGAGGAGGAGAGCCAGTAAGGAGGTGCAGGAAGAGAAAATATCATGACACGGAGGCCAGATGTCACGACTGTGGCAAGGGGTTCAAAAACCATATCTTCCTGAAGATCCACCAACGGACTCACACAGGTGACCTCCTGCATCATTTTAACATGACTGTCACTACAGTAGACACCGGTAGACACACGGTGCCGCACCAAAACTTGCTCAGATTTACAGACATCTTTTCGTACATTCTCCCCATAGAAACAATTCTCAAAACTCGGGATGGGTGAGTAAGGATACCAGTTCTCGGTCTCGGGCCTATAACGGCCTTCTTTTAAGGTATCGGGTGCTAATGGTGGCTGACGATACCAGCCACCGATACATCATAGTCAAAAATAAAATCTGACATTGAGTAAGTCCTTCTCGGTGGTAGTCTGCGAATAATCATCTGAATCAGAAAGTTGTCTTTGTTGACAATTTTTAGCCATTGAGTTCAATGAAATTTTATTCATGACATCAAAAGGACTCGAGGTATTGCTGAGTACTCAAAGTGTGAATACTCGTACTGATACCGGTCTGAAAAAAAAGCCAAATCGTGCCAAGCATTCCTGCTCAAAACGTCTAGCTTATAGTTTTTGTTATGCTCACAAGCTAATCCAGTCTTCCCTCCTAGCACCGTACAGGAAGTGATGTCATTGTTGCTCCCCACCCGCAGGAGAGAAGCCTTTCTCCTGCCAGGTGTGCGACGCGGCGTTCACGCAGAAGCACACGCTCCTGGTGCACCAGCGCAAGCACACCGGAGAGACGCCGTTCGTGTGCAGTGTGTGCTCCAAAGTCCTCGCCACCAAGCACAGCCTTCACGAGCACATGAACCTCCACCAAGGTGATCACATCTTGCTTCTCGCGTAAGGCGTGCGTGTAACCTAATCACGTGACTGTTGTGTCTTACAGAAAACAAGTCATTCTGCTGCGACCAGTGCGGAAAGAGCTTCACTCAGAGGAGGCAGCTGAAAAGTCATTACAGGGTCCACACAGGTCAGATGGAAGCAGACTGGATGCGTTTTTTTATTTGCTTTTATTTGAAGGTCATATCGCCCGGCCCTCGAAAGTGTGAATTTTATTAATTGTCGTTTCTGTATTCATTGTAGGCAAATCGCTTCCAGAGTGTGCTCATTGCCAGCACAAGTTTTTGGATACGGCCCAGTTGAAAAAGCACTTGCGCACTCACACAGGTAAAAAAAAAAAAAAAAACATGGGTGGATGGATAGTACTTTGCTTTATAAAAGTCCACTAGCTTTGCCATGACTGTATGTTTTTGTAAAGTATGAAACTGTTAGGTGAAATATGTGTTTTTGTTGTTTTGTGCGAACTTGAACGGATTTTGCATCGCTAAAACCTGCATAGAATTGATGGCCATTATAACTGCAAAAAAAAAAAAAAAAAGTACAATTTCCTTGTAAATTGTTGGGCTACGACGTCATATGTGGCAGGTGAGAAGCCGTTCACGTGTGAGATCTGCGGGAAATGTTTTTCTGTCAAGAGCACTTTGCAGACGCACATCCGGATACACAGGTGAGCACCATCACTGCACGCTAACTAATTGCTGTCGGTGCCTTTCCACGGGACAAGACGGGTACTGTTGGAAGTGCCGGCTCAAGTTTTGCAAAGGGTAGCTTAGCCCCTTTGCGCCAACTGCTGCAATCTGATAATGTGATGTACACAATAGTATTTTCCCATTTGAGGTCCTGATTTTAAGCGGAAGAGAAACTGGGAACGGGTCATGACCTCAACCTCAGATCCGCCGTCGCAGTGTAACCGTGACAAAAATTTAGCTTAGTCCTGCAATGTGCAAAGTATTGCCTGAGTGAGTCTTGTCAAAAAAAAAAAAAATTATAGCGCATTCATTCAGCAGATTTTTTCCTAAAGTTGGTTATTGAAATGTATTTATTCCTTTTTATTTATGTATAAAAAAAATGTTATTTCATTTTCCCAAAATGTCCCATGTTGTGTCCCACAGAGGCGAAAAGCCATACAGCTGCACCGTGTGCGACAAGTCCTTTGCCGACCGCAGCGCCTACCGCCGCCACGTGGCCTCCCACTCGGGCAAGAAGCCCTTCAACTGCTCGGCGTGCGGCCTCTCCTTCTCACGCCTCGACAACCTGAAGACGCACATCAACACCCACAATAAGGAGAGGGTGTCCAAAGCGGAGCCCGCCGATCGAGGCAGCGATGGCGCTGCCCTGCAGGCACAGGTAGGTCAAGGCAAGGTTCTTGTCGTTCATGACGGGACGGAAACAAAAATTGAAGATGTTTTTGTGACCAAAATACAATTTAAAACTTTTTGAAAAAATTAAAACTTGCTGAAATTACATCTTACGTTTATAAAACTAATTAAATATAATTATTGTGAAAACATTTTTTTTCGGGCGTTACACCCCATCTGCGCTCCTGTTTTTCGTGGAAAATGTATCTTGAATCCTTATCTGCGTTTTTTGAAGAATTGGTTATGTTAAAAACAAATAAATGAATACGTAAGAAAAAAATACAAAACTTTTTTTTTCCCTTTTTTTTAATTAGTCAAGGGGCAACTCAGAATGTGCTCCTGGGCTGCATGCGCCAGTTGCTCATCTCTGATCTCGACTGATAAATAAATACAATATGCATATAGAAAAATTAAAGGTCACTCATCTCTCGTCAAGAACATGACACATGCTAGATTTCAGGAAAAGTAAGATTGTTCCTGTTTACAACAATATCCTTCAATTTAACAAAAAACAAATGCCAGAGCACACACATGCACCTTTTAAATGAATGATTATTCAAGTGGTTATTTTATTTTCCTATATTTTAGTCGCGTTACTGTTGTAATAATGTTACAGTGGCTTATGATAAGAACTATACGTTTTTGCAACTCCCAAAATCCGTCTCGTTTTTTTTTTTTAATGAACACTTGGGCCTACTACGCATCTGTATTTTAATGGTGATCATGTTAGTTGCACTTTCGATTTTTTTTTTTTTAAGTGGTAGAAAGTTGATAAACAATTTATCCTATGGTATATGGCAATATACGGCAAATTTAAAGAGCTGAAGTTGGAAGTGACCAAATTAGAAAAAAAAAAAACCTCACCATTTCAAAGTTCCATTACATTTGCATGAACGCAGCTGGAAAAAAAAATGGCCGGCATAGAACCCGCAAGATAAGTCAATGTGACAAGAGTAAATGTAACGCCTCTCCTCCCGCAGGTCCAGAAATATCAGCTGGAGTCAGGCTCGGAGCAGGAAATCCAGCTTCTGGTGACAGGGGAAAACATCAGCTTGACGCAGGATATCGGCACTGTCACGCCCCAGATCCAGATGCTCGGCTCGCTGGACACTCAGGCCGGGCCGCCGCGGACTGAGTCCATGTACGTCATCACCCTGAGCAAGAAGGCCGCTGAGCATCTGCATGTGGCGCATGGGCCCGCCCAACAGGTGGCGCCAACGCACGTCCAGGGCGTCCACGTCAACCAGCCCATCTCCATCAGCCACACTGGCGAGCACATCTCCAGCCACCACATCCACGGACACACTTTCCAGATCCAGGCCGGGACCGTCTACGCCACCGCCGCGCCGCCACCCGCACACCCGTGAGCGCAGCGTCGCCGACGAATCCGGTAAACTAACACTCGTGGCATTTAGTTACACTTGTTGGGGATGAAAACAAAAAAAAAAACAGAGGCAGCTCAAAGTGCGCTAAACACTACGTTACGTGTCCAATATTCCTGCCATGCCAGAAAACAAACAAACATAAAAAAACAACTTCACTCTTAACCCATGAAAAGTAAGTTTCACGTGGCAACATGATAAGTCAGTTACTTACGGTTGAGGTGACTGGCTGGTGGAGTCCTTTTTGATGTCTCATAAAATCAGTGTTACGAATAGTGACTGACCAATTTATCGGCTAGCTGATGGGATCAGTCAAAACTAGAATTGGCCAAAATCGGCAGATTTTCTTTTCCACAATTTATTTATTTTTGCCAATTGTTTTATGTATACATTTTGGCTGAGAGTTCTCTCTCTTGTGAAGTTCAGCAAATGCCAAAGGACAAAGCATTTTAAAACAGTCAAATGTTCTGACTGTAATTCATGTCGTTATTTTGATAAGCATTAAGGGACCAAAAATGCGAGTTACAGTCAAACCTCGGTTTTCGTCCATAATCCGTTCCAGAAGGCTGTTCGAAAACCGAATTGTTCGAAAACCGAAACCACGCTCTTTTTAAAATAAAAATGTTTATTGAACATGTCTGCTCACAACGGAAAGCAACACGAGGAAGCGTCACTTCCTCGTCTACCCGAGGAAGCGTCACTTCCTCGTGTAAGGAAGGCGAGAGGAGTCAAATGGTGCATTCAAGTGTGCTCAGTTTGTACGAGAACCGAAATTTGTTCGTCATCCGAGGCATAAAAAACTCGAAATTTTTGGTCGAAAACCGAATTGGTCGAGAACCGAGACATTCGAAAACCGAGGTTTGACTGTATTTTATTCATCATGTATTTTTTTTTCTCAATCCTCTGATTGCTTACTCTGTGAAATTTTATTCTGCCAAATTTCTGAATTGGCACCGACTTAAAACAAACAAAAAAATCCATATAAACTGTCGTGTTAAAAAATAAAATTGTTTAAAATTATTTAAGCGTTAAAAAGAAAACACATACTAGCTACCGCCAGTGACCTGAACTGGAAGTATTTGCCTCATTTTGTGATGCTGTGAACGCAGAAGCCAAATGTCATCACGTTATTAGGTGAAACTTAAAATGTCTCATCTTTTAACACCATAACTCTCATTAAGTTATGACGTAAATCTTGTCAGATTAAATTTGCACTTCGTTGCTTCAGTAAAACAAACACTTAGAGAGAGGTTTAAATAAAGTTCTTTTACAGAGCAACACCGTGCTGTTGTTTTTACTTAAAAAAAAAAAGAATTTCAACCAAGGTTTCATTTCAGCTTCCACGTTTGCGGTGGGACTAATGAAGCCATTGAGGTCATTTCTTCAGGACTGCATGTGGGCATATTATACAGATTGAAGAAATATTTCAATTCTACTTCACGTAACATTTAATAACAAAATATTTTATTAATGAATATGACTGAGTATTATTTGATGAAAGAATACAGTACATAAAAAAAAAAAAACGGATGACAGGACGCAATTGTAACTGAATTCCAAAATGAAATATCGCTCTTTGATTGAAATATGCCAAACAAAATCCAATGTCCTGCTGTGACCCTTACCACTACCTCCTTGCTACCATGGCGACAACAAACTGAGCTACATCTATCGAAAGGTGTAAAAATATGCACAGCTCGGGCTCGAGGCCAGCTGCGTTCCTCTCGGATACAGAGACGCCATTGGCCGGGAGCTCCGGGGCCTGCCAGCCAATAGGAAATGACCTCTCCCGACCACCT